ACATTTATGGCTCTGCAGTCCATAATAAATTAACAACTGTAACAGGAAAAGAAACTTTGGTGTTAAAAATATCAAGTGAAATATTCAACAAAATCAATTAAGACCCAATATCTTACATCTAATCACTTAACTATTACTTTTGGGGACAATCACAGACCATGTTTTGTGTTTTCATTCCAAACTTAATGAATTGTGTGTTTAATTTTAACTTAACCACTTTTGTACCATTTTGCTACTTGCATCAAGGTGTGCATGCATTTATGTGTATGTGTCTGCATATTATCCCATGTGTTGACAAAATGGTTCTCTATATGGTACAAATTCAAGAGCATCAGCACACTGATAAATCTGTTATGTTCCAAGGCACAGAAGTTAAGTNTTGTCATAAGTCAAGGACTATCTCTGCCTTCCTTTGCATGGCAGTCTTGTCCTAGTAAACTCCTTCTCCTTTCTGGCAATTTTTCTCTCTCTTAAGAGGCACCAAAATAATCCAGAAAACAAAAGGTTTCCTGCTGCAGCAGGGGGTTGGCCTAGATGACCTCTGAGTAGCCTTCTAACCCTAAATTGCTGTACTGTTTTTTCTTTCTTTCCTTCCTTTCTTCCTTCCTTCCATTCCCTCTGTGGGAAGCAACCTCCTCCCCAAATAACTGCTGAATGCCACTTTGCAAACCTGAGTAGCTTTTCAATTTAAAGCAGGACTCCAAAGTTTGCAGCTTTAAGACTTGTGGACTTCGACTCCCAGAATTCCACAGCCGGGCATGCTCAGTTCCGATTTAAAGTGACAGCATTTCTTTTTCTCTTTTGCGGAATATCCCGGGTGAAAATGAGTTTCCTTCCTTCTTCTTTCCTCCCCCCCCTCCCTCCCTCCCTCACTTTTTAAAGCTTTTCCCCCCTCTTGCCTGAACCCGCAGAGGAAAAAACTTTTTTTTAAAAAAGCTGCTGATGGGAGAACAGGTTCGGGGGCGTGGCCAAGCCACCATTTTTACTACTGATTCTATCCGGTACGCCAGATTTTCACTACCTCTTCTGGCGTACCGGACCGTATAGGGAGGAACCCACCTCTGATCTGGGACAACATTTTAGTAGGTAAACTCTCAAATTATTTGAACACTCAGATGGTATGTCACTATTACTCTGATACAATAAAGAGGAAAACAAGGACAATCAGTGTGATGCCTTAGATAAATATGTTGATAATTGCCACAAGAAGAAAGCTTATAAAAATTGCGCACATCCTGAGTTATATTTCTAGACACTGCACTACAGTCTCTACAGTCCCGAGAGTGGTGATCCCACAGGTGTTGCTCTGATTGTTAGTTTACTTGTCAAACTGACTGTAGGTAGTGAGGAAGAGGCAATAGCAATAGCAATAGCAGTAGACTTATATACCGCTTCATAGGCCTTTCAGGCCTCTCTAAGCGGTTTACAGAGAGTCAGCATATTGCCCCCAACAATCTGGGTCCTCATTTTACCCATTACCCATCTATAGAATGAAAATTGTATACATAGTTCTCATCCTTGATATTGTTCAGTGGTGGGATTCAACATTTTTTACCACCGGTTCTATGGACATGCCTTGGTGGGTGTGATGTGGCTTGGTAGGCATGGCAGAGAAAGGATACTGTAAAATCTCAATTCTCTCCTCACTCCAGGGGAAGGTTTGGTCAGCATGGCATGGATTAGTAGGCGTGGCTTGGTGGATATGGCAGGGGAAGGACACTGTAAAATCTCCATTCCCACCCACTCCAGGGGAAAGTTACTGCAAAATCCCCATTTCCTCCCAATCTGGGACTCAGGAGGCAGAAAATAGATGGGGGCAGGGCCAGTCAGAGGTGGTATTCACCTGTTCTCCAAACTATTCAAAATGTTTGTTACCAGTTCTCCAAAACTGGTCACAACCTGCTGA